CACACACACACACACACACACACACACACACACACACCTACACACCTATCCCCTCTCCAAGGCAGAGGTTACCCCTTTTTAATTTTTTCATTTTTGCGATGCTGGAGGTGGAACCCAAGGCCTCTAGGCAAGTATTCTACCACTGAGTTGCACCCCCAGCCCAAGACAGGGGTTCTCAGCCTGCATTGCTACATACTAGAATCATCTGGGCAACTTCTAAAACCTTGATTCCCAGGAAGCAATGACATCAAATCTCCAGGGCTGAGGTATAGGCATCAGCATTCATTCAGAGGCAACACAGCAAAAAAGAAGCCTGAACACATTCTTTGTACATGGACATTGGAGCAGCACTATCACAAATTTTAAATATATGTATCTCTTTCATTTTATAGGATATAAATCTATCCCACAGAAACGCTCAGCCTTGTGTGCAAAAATGCAAGATTAGTCATTGCTGCAACCTGTACAAGCCCCAAATGGGAAGCAATCAAAATGTGTATCAGTGAATAATGCATGAACATATCTCACGATGAAGACGTCTGTAGTTCTTAAGAAAGAATGAGGCCGATTTGTATATAGGAATATGAGGTGAGGACTGTCCAGGCAGCAGAAACAGCATGGGCGAAGGGCCTGGGGTGAGAATGTGTCTGGCACTGTGGAGGCACATGAAGGGGGTTAGTAGGACTGAAAGGGGTGAGCCATGGAAGATGGAATTAGAAAGGGGTGATAGGTTGAATGGTGGTCCCCAAAGAGACATGCCCACGTCAGAATCACCTTATTTGGGAAATGGTCTTTGTAGAAATAATTTAGAATCTGTGTTGAGATCATCTTGGACTATCCACAAGGGCCTAAAGTCAATGACGAGTGTCCTTATGAGACATACAGAGAATAAGTTCACAGAGAAGGAGGCAATGTGAAGACAGAGGCAGGCCTTGGGACCATGTGGCCACAAGCCCAGGAATGCTAGGGCAGCCACCAGAAGCCAGAGTAGGCCAAGAACAGAACAGAATCGTCCTCAGAGCTCCTGCGGGGAGCTGAGCATGGCTGACACCTTGAATTTGGACTTCCGGCCTCTAGAACTACATGAGCATATGTTTTTGTTATTTCAAGTTTCCAAGTTTATAGTCAACATCACGGCAGCCCTAGGAGACTAACACCAAAGGCCACCTAGCAGGTATTTAGAGACCTTTGGTGGCTTCAGGCCATAGGAAGGATTTTGTCTGAACTTCCCAGGTGGGAAGCCAGAGAGGATTTTGAGTAGAAAAATGGCCCATTTTCCCATAGGGTCCCCCTAGCAGCTAGAACAAGCGTATGATTGAGAGTAACTCGACATTTGTTTTAACCAATGTTTAATTCATTTTCTAATTAAAAGAATATAAATTTTTAAAACAAAAAGGGAATAAATTACAAATTAATAAAACAATTAATTAAAAAAAAAAACATTCCAAAGCTAGCCCACACTCCCCAAGCCTCCCCGCAGATTCTCCCAACTTCACCATCGGGTGCCTCATCCAGGTTGCCCCCATCGAGGGCGCGTGGTCCCGGTGGTGGATGAAGTCCCTCAGGAGAATGGCAAAGCTGCAGACGTCTGGCCTTGGGGTGCCCGATGGGCAGCTCTGGGCAGCTCGGGCTGTTCAGTGAGCTCTGCAAGGCCCTGGGTGTTGCGTGGAGAGAGAGCAGACTTGCAATACCAAAACCCCCCCGGGGCTCCTTGGGGAGGGACAGGGGAGCAGACAGCGTCCAGCCCCTGAGAAGGCAAACTGGACCCTGTCTGAGTGGAAGAGCAAACAGGGTCCCTGGGATGCCCATGGAGAAAACAGCCAGGAAGGAGGCACCCCGGCAGGTGAGTGGTAGCTGGTGTGGTTCCAGGGTGGTACCTGTGGTCTCCACCTTCTTCCTTCTCCAAATTGCCTATATTTGTAAAATCTCATGTACCGAGGGAACATCCGCTTAACATAAATTAATTGTTTTGAGGTGAATGATTGGTGATGTTTAGCACCTTCACCATGTGTGCAACCTCTTTTATTTTTTTCTTTTTGGTGATGCCGGGGATTGAACCCAGGGCCTTGTGCATGTGAGGCAAGCACTCTACCAACTGAGCTATAGCCCCAGCCCCCAGCCTCTTTCTAATTCCAAAATATTTCCATCATCCAGAACAGAATGCCTTACCTATCAGTGCA